AGCTGCAAGCTCCTGTCGCGTTCGCGTTGAGTCTTCATCAAGTGGAACTCGCAATTCCGCATCTTCAAACTTCCGAGGCTTATGTTTGGGTCGCGGCTGGTCACCAAGGTTCACTTTGCCACTTCAAAGACGTTTGTATCTCTAACTACACGTTTCATAAGACACAACGTCGGCTCCAAGAATACTGCAAATTGATTCCCTTGCTAGAGAAGCCTTTTTTTCTTGCTAGAATTCGTGTGAAATGCAGTGTCAGTTGTCATAGTAAACTCCGCAATTCTGAGAGGTAATGTAGCTCACATCGATCCTTTCAACACCACGAGAGGCCACAAAAAAACTTCCACTTTAAGCACGAAGGCGGAATTTGTAAAAAAAAATAAGTCATACACTGAATAACTTAAGACCAAACACTCGTCACGTGCACGACATCTTATTAGGTCTGTTTTAGGGGGTGTTGATTTTTCTACATTAAACTTTGTTAACCTCTCAGGTCAGTGACAATTTAAGGGCCTTGTGGCAGAAAATGGGACATGCTCGATCATTAAAATGTTGTTTTTACTTAATGTTGATCACGTTTCCGGGGAATTAGCGGCCTGGGCAACCTTAGTTTTCTTGGCTGGTTGGGGTTTTATTTAATCAATGGGTTTTTAACGAGTTGTACTTAAGTTGCCTTATAATTGGCTACTCACCTCCTGTGTACTTTATCAGTAGTAAGGACTTTATGTAGACTGCAGCCAATGATATTAAGTGTGGTTTAGAGACACATTCCCCTACCTAAATCGGGCTCCGACCTGCTCTGCAGATCTGCGTAGCACCGAAACGCCTTTGCCTTCTGTGCAAGAGTCTGCTTCGGACCACCCACATCCTCCGTCGGCTTGCCTCGGTGGTTGTAGATGTAGATGGTCGGCGTTGTCTGTCCTGCCGGCGTTCTTCGCTGAAAGGTCCTAACTCTTGCCTTCGCCAACTCGGTCAGGTTCGACGAACGAACCTTAGGTGTGGTCGGTGGCGCTTTCAAGTCCTCTGGAGTCGGTTCAACCGGATGCGAATTCGATGTTGTAAGTAGATTTTCTTTATTAATGATTTCCGATTCCTCTTCAGCACAAGTGTTGTTTGTTGAGCTGACCTTTGGATTATCTGACTTCTGAAATTCATTTTTCAAATCCTAAAAAAGGCGTACATTTGTACTGCACGAACAATCGATAGACGATGTTTAATTATTTAATTAACTATGTGCCCAAATTTGCTCAGAATCAAGGAAACGGGAAAAATACTTCGGTAGTTTCAATATTTTTTTTCAAATTTCTACATTACGTTTCAGGTGGCCACCATGGTTACGAGGGTGTCACTTGCTGCGTTTGCCGCTGTCCTTATGCCTTAAAAATGAATCGCGACATACTTCTTTAATGCACCATGACTTCTCTGGCCTGTCTCTCTTAGGTGACACAATTCGTTGAGTCAATTTCATGTGTTTCCGAAAAACAGCATCTTTGATTTGTGACATTTACTAAGTATTTCAAGTGACCACGTCCTTTTTCTAAAATTCCCCATTGGCCGGATGTTGAGATATTTCACTAGAGGTCATTTCATCCAATGATGAAGGAGAGGGTGAATTTTGGGATGTAGAAATCACCGTAATACAATCAACTCTCGAGAACCTGGTCATTGGAGGTCCAGCGACAAGAAATGAAGACACGTACCTCAAAAAATTTCTTCATGCTTTTTTTGACTGGAAAGCAGTTCGAGGTGTGAGGCACAACGGACCACGAGTTGCACAGTGAATGGGAAACGCCTTTTGCCCCAACCAACCAACATTTCACACACAATTTGCAGGAAATTGATTGCTCTCCAAACCAAAATTACACCTAGAAGTAGCCTTAACGTGCTTTCAAATTTTTTTCTGACTTTCAACTGTGCGAGGTTAAAATGAAGGGCGCCAAAACCTAGGTACTATTTTACGACTTCTCACACTAGTTGCACGAGAGTGCAATTTATCGGCTCTCAGGAGTCGACTGTTCAGGTTGACATTTATGCTGGAAGAAAAGTGGGGCGTGGATTTATGGTCTACCTGCACTTCTAAAGTGTACTTTTTCGAGCAGCTATCGCAGGCCCGATTTGCGAGCCATGGAGCGAGCACATATATCCTAGGTGAATTGCCGAGACAAAGATTTAAGGGTTTAAGTTGATGGCTTTTGCATTGACATTTAAAATGTATTTTCGTGGTCGGATGCAAGGTTTCTTAATACCGAACGACAATAATACGTGAGCTAATTGATTTCTCAGGATAGCAGGGTTTACGATGGCAACTGATAAACAGCACATCCAAAGGCAATGCGTTTTAACGAATTCCAGCAAAGACAAATTGTCTCTCTCAGCACAAGTATCAATTTGAAGTGTAGTTGTGAATCGTGTTTAAACACACTTCTTAATCCGGTCGCTCCACCTCCTACACAGGGTTCTTCTTTTCGCAGCATGTCGCCAGCTGCGCGAACCCTCAACTCCCACTTTATTAGCACGAATATTTATCTTGGAGCGTCCTCACACCTAGATCTCAAATTTAGCGCATGTATGACTCACACATCCGAGGTATAAATACACACGCGCAAACCCCACACATGACACAACGACACCAACGTGGTTGAGCTCTGAAGTAAACAGTTGTATCCACACTATCTCCGATCTTTTTCTTCATCGCGGGTATCAAGGAAACGTAATCGGGTCAGGGTTAATTCCGTGGCCCCGGCGTGGTTCAAGACCACCTGCTGAGGCCCACAACATGTCTTACAAAATGTGTAGTTAGTGGTGAAAACGTCTTAGAAGTGGTGAAGTCAACCATGGTGACAAGTCGTGACTCGGACATCAGCCTCGAAAGTTTGAAGATGCGGGATTGAGAGGTTCACGCAATGAAAACTCAGCACGAACGCAATAGGAGTTTGCAGCTGAGTTAGGAATTACCCAAAGAGCTAATTCCAGGCTTTTGCACCAAATGTAAAAATTCAATAACTTGGAAGTTGTGTCCTCCCACATGTGTCGACCGACCACAACTGAGGTCAACGAATGAAGACATGCCTTTCACTGCTTGCCCCCGAGCAACACGAAAGGTCACATAAAACAATTCGCAATACTGCAAAATTAATTTTCTTCTGTTTTTTATTTTAATTAAATTTGCTGAAGAATCTAAAAAATAAGTCATTTACCTAAAACTATATGACAACGCGCAAAAGGAAAAGTTTGATACATCCGTCGTGATGACACGCCAGAACTAGAAAACCAGGCCAACTTATTCCTGAAAACAAAAAATTCAGAAGCATATGCGGAACTTTGCCAGCCATTCGTGATGCATTTGGACTGTCCCGTTTGTGGCGATGCATTTCGGTTGATGCCGGCAAAACCAAAGCCTAATCTCCGCTATCACCAAAACCAAGTCTAGCGCAACAAAACACTAAGCAGAAGAGACCAATTTATTGCAACGATTTCCGCAGGGCCTTATTGGAAAATATTATTCTACACCGTTAATTTCCTCGAACTTCTCATTTTATCGCTTTCTAACAGCCACCATCTGAAAAATTGTAAAAAATTTGCAAATGCTCCATGCTTATTTATTTTTGTTAATTTTAACAAAGTCACTAATTGTCAGATAATAATCCTCAAAGCGCCTATATGCCCATGTTCATGCTCATTACGCTTTCCAGGAATGCCACTTTTCTAGTAATATTCTAACTAGAATGAAGTCTCGAATGTGAATTTAGAATCAGATTGTTCCTTAGTAAAAGCCACTTTCTCGTAGTTGAATATCGACCAGGGGCCAAATAAATACCAACATCAGGTAATTTGTCCATCGCAAACAATCAAAGTCGGCATTGATATACATAAAAAAATGACGACATAGGTGAAGAAATAGTAATTACAGGCACTGAGGCATTCAAATTGACAAACCGTTGAATGTGAGTGTGGAAAACGTATCGTATAAATCATGTCCAGGACTGACTCGATCAATCAGATACAAGAATAGGAGAGAGAGGAAATTTAACAGCGGCACAGTCATGCGAAATACGAGATAAAAAAAGATATTCAATTAATTCATGTGCTGCCTAATTGGCTGGAGTCAAACAGTTTAAATCCTACTTAGTAGACGACTGATGTAGGCACATTATCTGACAGCATCCCCCGAAATAATTTCATCATAACATCAAACTATTATAAAGGTGCTCATTATTATATTATCGTCAAATATGACTAAAGCATCACTTTGTCGAAAATGAAAATTATTTTTGGAGCACCAGGACGGTTAATCTAAATTGACAGTAAGCTTGCTAATACGTTTTGACACTCAAAAGCATGCCGTAAAAAAGCCTTATTACAGTCATTTATTTTGCCATTTTTATAAGCAATTTACTTTTAAAAATATTACACTAAAATTGAAATTGTTTTAATATATGACTATCAAAGGAACTACTACGAAGATTTCGTTTAAGAGTTTTCATTGGCTTAGTCTGTTTGACTTTACCCCAACTCCAGCCAATCAGCTGTTGCTCCCTGATCCTGGCCAACCTTAATTGGGGAAATCCATTGTAATGTGTACCTGGTAATGGGATGGGTGAACTGGATTCAGGTATTGTAATTTTCTTTAATAACCAATATTTCAGATAATTTTTGTGGCCGGAACACTCTTCCATGCCCATTTATCTGCAACTCAATCAAACTGTGTGAACAATCACGATGTCTGTTTGGTAAATCTTCGAAAAGAAGATCTGCACATTGATCATGAACTTCTGGACGCTTGTCCCCACGAATGCACCAAGTTATCGGTACTCGCCCATGATGAAGCCAGTCGCACTATTTCCCGAGATGCATTCCAGAAATTCACCTTTCTTTCTTCTTTGTCAATGCGCGTTAATCTAACCGATGTACGCAGTTTCGACTGGATTATTCAGTTAAAGGATCTCATATCTCTCAACCTCTCTCATTGCGGCCTTAAGTCATTTATCATACCAGGCTTTGGTGATGAATTTTCGCGCCTGACGGAAATCGATATCAGTTACAACGACTTAAGCTTTTTGTATCTGCCATTTATTTCCAATGCACCTGAACTACAAACTCTTGACATCTCGCACAATAAATTCAGAACATTTCCTGATCTTTCATCAAGCAAATTGGTTGTGAACATTATGGAAAACCCCCTCGTTTGCAATTGCGCCAATGTCCAATTGTCCAGCCAGGTCAAATTTGTTACCTCTAATTTCGCCTGCGCACTTCCACCTTGTCCATACTTTTTATCATTTGATCGGAATTTGCCGGATTTAGAAATGGCTGTTAGTGTTGCTGGGAACTTCGGAATATCTTGCAGCGTCAATGCTTCCAATCCCGTCCAGCTCGGCGTCTTCTCGCCCATTGGGTTCATACCAGACTCCTCTTGGGAATCCAACACATACACACCGGGGGTCATCTCGTATGAGTATATGGTATTGCCTGTTCAACGACCTGTGCATTTAACTGTACAAAGAACTGCTCATAATGGTATTGAGGTGACCGTTGACTATGCCAGAGGTCATCACGCTGGTGTTTGGCGTTGTGGCGCTCTTTCGGATGGTGGTTTCATTCTCGACAATCGAACAACCACGGTGATTATAAGAACTGGAATTGATCATCTTTTCCAAAATACGTCAATTATTGGGTTTATCGTCATGGGATCAACTCTGGTTCTTGGCCTAATCATTGGTTCTGTTCGGTACCTGGTGGAGACGCGTTGTTGCACGCGGCCTCAATCGCACAAGTTCTTCGTTCGTCCCCTAATTGGCATCATCCCGGTTCCATCAATCCAGACACAAATCGCCACGTTTGTGGACGAGATATCCCTCAATCAACGGATTTGCTCCTCTTGTCTGATGCAACCATGTTTCCTCTGTGGCTACTGTCTGTCTGTCCACACGTTTTCTCAATTTGAAGTTTTGGCCAGTGGGGAAGGCATACCTGACCAACCGCCTCCACATTACAAACGCAGCACTCGTCTATCGCAATGCGATGCAGAGAACCCGTCTCTCCTGAGTTCAGACTGTAGCCCCACACTTGACCGCAAGACTGACGCCAAAACGCACCAGAATTTTGGAGATGCCAAGGGGGAGGTGCCCAAAATAGTCGGAAACGGAATAGACGCGACAGACAAATCCAACGGCTCTGCTGTTTTGCAATTTCCCCACAAAAATGTCCTTAACTATGACTTCCCTTCTGAGTTTTGCCATTGTTGCCATCTGGACATGCGCTTTACCGATGACGGCAAGACCAGAACCTCTGCAGCTCAGCGTGATGTGAAGCTGGTTTTCCGCGACGAGGGATTGGCTCAGGAGTACACAGAGGCTCTCAAGGGTTTGCAGGCCGCCGCCAAGTCAAACGATGCTGCAACATTTCGTGATAGGCTGGAAGAATTCCGCGAGAAACTTGTTCGCGACGTTGGCGCCCGAGTGCGTGTTGTTCGGGAGGGCATTGTTGCCCTAAAAGAGATGTCGGCAAAGTCTGTTGCCCGCTTAATGGACCAGGGTGGTGTTGTCGCCAATTTAATGAAGACTGGGTTCTCCCAGATGAAAGATGGGATGCGCAGCATGGCGGAAATGTGCACCGGAGGCGCCGGCGGTGGCAGCACCACCGGTCTCGAGACGATCGGTCAGTCGATCTCCGTCGTGAGCATCTACCGAGACGAGACTACTAACAAGCCCGTGGAGCGGTGCGTGTCAAGTTTCAATTTTTAACACTACGTCAACCCCAAGGTGATGAATCAAAAGTCTTTCGCAGAAACGCCATCTTCCTGCGTTCTTCGTGAGGAGCAACCCTATTTAATCCCACGCTCAGATGTGTACAGATTCCGTTATTTTCATTTTGTTAACTTGCTTACTTCAGCAACACTGACGTGAGTTTGTCGTATTCTTTGAAGTACAGTTGAAATGTCTGTCAATTCCGGTGTTGGTTGTTATTCTAAGTAAAGTGGCTTTCACTAACAGGTTTATATAGGCAAATTGGTAATTTCGGTTACACCGTGGGTCTAGAAGTTAATTGCTTGGTCATTTTCGTTGAGGCCATGGCCGTTAATCCAAGTTGGGTCGTACCAGAAGGACTTACAATTCACAACTCCGTTTCAGCTGATAGTGCAAATCTCCGATAGCCCATACGTTAATTCAGAAAACTTTTGACGCCTTCCAATAACCACATTGAGGATGACATTTCTGCGGTCGTATTTAATTCAAATTAGGTGGATCGTCAGTAAGCACTATTGGGTCGGTTTCGTTAAATCACCACGGCGGGGCTCAATTCGGCGATGTTGAATGCAGTTTAGACTGCGATGCGGTTTGTGTTGGCTAATCGCACTTGGCCCAGTTTGAGATGCACTCCATTT